TTCCCTCTTCCCTGTAGACACACAATGAGATGTTGGCTATCCATGTGCTGGGCTCTCAGAGGGAGATGAGCAGCACAGTTCCAGCTGGACTGCAATGCAAATAAACTTCTGTTCTTATGAAACACAGAGACTTAGCAGCATAACCTGGCTTATCCTGACTAACGCAATATTTACTGTTGTTTCACAGGTGAGCAGACCAATGCTCATACGGGTTAAAGAGTTGGCCTAAGTCTCTAGTCAAGAGCCAGAGAAACCACATGTGAATTCTCTTTATATGTCAGGTTGCTACTCATTTGTGACTGGCAGAGACATGAAGAATTGATTTTTCTATCAACCATGAATCCTCATTCTAAAGAAGTTATTCTGATCCCATGTACCCCTGGGAATGAACTTGATCTTTTGTAAAGACAGAAACCTAACATTTTATTTTTTCAGCAGTGTAGGTAGAGTGACCAGCCATCCTGGGTTGTTCAGAATTGGGGTATTTCCCAGGATGCATGACTATCAGTGGTAAAACCAGAAAAAGCCCTGGGAAAACTGGAATGAGCTGGCCATCCTAGTTGTAGGGATGACATCTCTTAGCACCATTATGCAGCCTCGATTCCTACTTGCACCTTGTACTTCTTCCTATTTTAATATTTATCACATTGTGTTGTGAATGATGGACAGTTCAGTGTCTATCTGTCCTCAAAACTCAGAACTTCTGAGACTATTTCTTTTCCATTCTGTATTTTTAATTTCTTCTACGGTGCCTGCTACTTCAAAAGAGCTCGATAAATGTTTATTGACTGGATAAATAAATAGGTTTCTCTGTTGTTCTTCATTCCCTGAAACTGGTGTGATGTGATTAACTTTCTTCCCTTTGAGAATCAATTCTATCTAGATACTAATTTGACTATAAAGAAAGGCAAGACTCTTCCTTGATGGTAGCTACAAGCGTTCATAAAGCTTTTAGCATGACCCATAGTGTAAAATCACATAAACTCAGCACTGAGTTTCAACATAAACTGATTCCTTATTAGACCGTCTGAATAATTGAATCTCCTTGTTTGGCATTTGTTTAAAGACAGGAGGTCATGGGACAAATGGTGGGTATTTGAGTTTGTGGAAACATATGTTATAAATTTGGTTTAGCTGTTTCTGGTAACCGGGATTATTGTGACTGAAGATCCAGGCTTCCCTAGTCTGCCCTCCACCCTTGGGAATGCATAATAAAATGCCCTCCAAAACCAGAAGCAGGGAGAAAATAACCATGGGCATGCCTTGCTGATGGACTGCATTCATGCCCAGTTAAGGACAGCGAACAGTTGACTGAAAGCCCTGCTCCAAAAAATCAGAGCCAGATCCCATCCACTTGGATATAGTCATAACAGTCCTAAGAGGTATGTTGAGACTGAGCTTGGTGGTTCTTGACTTTATTTACAGACTAACTCCTCAGACATATTCATTTTCATCCGTCACCCACAGTATGTCTCTCCTAAGTGACTAAACTTCTCTGTGAAGGGATTTAAATTCTATAGAAGTGGCAAGAAGATCACTGAACTTGTACTTAGAGGACTTAAAAATCCCCTTCCTTAGTTTCCTCACCTGTAAAATGGGGTTTATTATACTTACCTTTCTTGCCTCCCTTGTAAAATGGCTTGTGAAGGTCAAAGGAGATTAAGTCAGTGAAAATGGTCTGAAGATTATAAAATGTAGAATGAATATAAGAATATGTACTTTTTACCTCTATTAGTCACCCAATTCTTTCCATCCTGTACAAACCTTACCTGGACTTCCTTAGGACTTCCTTTTATTTATCCCAATATTTTCCTCATTGCATGAAGGGAATAAACATTACTTTTTTTTTTCTTTATTCATGAGAGGCTGTGTATTTGCACATAAGAAAGGGAGGGTACCCTCCACAGGGTTTAGTCACATCGTGATCCTCTTCCTCCAGTCTTTCATCTTCTCAGATATTGGGCACTTCTGTCCATGCCTAGCATGTTTTAAGTTGTCCAGGCCAGGGATTCAAACTGTGGTCACCGTGTGGAATCCAGCTTCTCCTGAGCAGTGTTATTACTGCTACTCCACAAAACTATCCTGGGAATAAACATTTTCTTTGCGCCTTGTATGCACAGTCTCTTAATAAAAGACTTGTGACACAAGTACTATTACCTCAATTTCATACACGAATGCAAGTTTATAGTATTTCACCAGCTTGTCCAAGGGTCCAAGATCTAGCTCTAATCTAGATCCGAGGCTTAAATCTGAGTGTGCCTAACATGTGGGCCATGCCTTTTCCATCCACCACACTACTTTTCATGTTTTAAAGTGTGTGTGTGTGTGTGTTTTTTATCTTGGACTTGGTGTACAAGTTGATCTTGGGCTTGATCACAACATTCTGATTTCCTACATTTTTATCATATTCTCATAGCTTTTTTACTCCTGACTGAAACATCTTACCCTTTTTTTTCTGACAGTCATTCCTACATTTTTATCATATTCTCATAGCTTTCTTACTCCAGACTGAGACATCTTACCCTTTTTTTTTTTCTGACAGTCCTGTCCATTTCTTGAATCTTTGTACTTGTTGTTAGGTGGACCTCTCTTGAGATGTAACAACTAAAGCTGCATGTTACATCCTAGGCATAGATGCTCTAGGGTTGGGTACCAAGGCAGGATGCCATTTCTGGATATGTTGCCAGTACTTGCCATGATGCCCAGGAATTATTAGCTTTTTTGGCTGATGTAGGACAATTCCAGTGGAACATCTTCTGCCTATAACCAGTAACCATGTGACCAGACTTCAGAGAACACAACGTCTTGAGGTCTCTAAAATCATCCATTCATTTATTGATTCAACATGTATGTATAAGCACTTGTGCCAACTTCTGTTCTGTTGTGGACAGGGCAGAATAAAATACTCCAAACCTTAGTTTCATGGAGCATGGAGAGTAGCATAGAGAGACAGTTAGTAAATACAGAAGTGCATGTCAGATGATCAGTGACATGCCGGAGAATAAAGCTAGATAAGACAAAGAAAGGGAAACTGGGCAGAGGACTTGCCTTTCTACATGGGATAATTAGGGATATTTCTGATAAGGTGACCTTTGAGTATTAAGGAAGTAAAGCTTATATCTGGGAAGAGCATTCAAGTAATAGCAAAGGGGAATAGCAAAGGTTGTAGGGAATAGCAAAGGTTGTAGGGAAGCTACTTGACATGTTGGAGGTATGCCAATGTAGTTGGAGCACTGTGAGAGTAGAGACGATTGTGGGAAATAAGGTGAAAGATGAGGGTGAAAGATGAGGTCGGAACATTGAGATCAAGGAGAGGCAGATGATGTATGGTCTTGTACATGATGGTTAGGATTTTTGTTTTATTTCTGTGTGAAATAGGAAGCCAGTAGAGTATTATGAGCGAATAACTGGACCGATTGGGCTTACCAGAATAAGAACTTACTATGACTGCTCTGTAGAGTACAGAATGTAAGAAAGAATGGTGAAGGCAGGAAGGCCAGTTTGGTAGCTATTGTAATAATCCATCCTAGAGAGGCTGGTGGCTTGGATCGGGGTGATTGTGGAAGTAAGGGAAAATGAATGGATCCTCATATAGATTGGATATGAGTGAAATAGATGAGTCAATGAAGATGTCAAGGTTTTCAGCTTGAGAAACGGGAAGAACTGGATGAATGGAGTGCCTTATATTGAGTTGAGGAATACTGGGGGGAGTATGTTGTGTGTGTAAGTGTGTGCATGCACACATGTGTCTGTATGTTTGTA